GATGTGGTTGCCCACAGGCGACAGGGGAGAAGGAAGAGATGGAGGAGCTCCAGGCATACAACCGACGGTTGCTGCACAACATTCTGCCCAAGGACGTGGCTGCCCACTTCCTGGCCCGAGAACGCCGCAACGATGAGCTCTACTACCAGTCATGTGAATGTGTGGCTGTCATGTTTGCCTCCATTGCCAACTTCTCTGAATTCTATGTGGAACTTGAGGCAAACAATGAGGGTGTCGAGTGCCTGAGGCTGCTCAATGAGATCATCGCTGACTTTGATGAGGTACTTGTTCATTGACTAGCACTGGCAGAGTAGGGACGATTTGGGGACCAGGTAGATGGAATAGACTTTGGTTTGATGGGGTGAGTGCCCCTTGCCCTGTCAGAGACAGCAAGGTGGTGATTGTTGTGGGGAGTCAGGACATGAGGCTCCAGGAGGGTGGTGACAGGATAAGCATCAGGTGGTGTCGTTGGAGGGGGAGACAGTAGTCAGTGGACTAATCCATATGGGGCCAGGCAAGCATGACGGTCTCTTGAATCATGAAAAGTGTGAGGTAGTGTTCTGAGCACCCAGGTCAGGGATGGGCTGTCCACTGTTCTGGAGGGAAGTCCCCCACTCACTCTGGGACACAGTTCCTCAAAGCATTCAGAGTGTTTCTGCTGCAGGGGACAGTCACAGTCAGTCAACCTTCTGAAGCCACATGCCCAGCTCCTTGCCCGGGGTCCTGAACTGCCTGATTTCTTGGCTTCTCAGAACTACACTGAGAATAGCAATGGGAAGGGGAATCGCCCACTAAAACAATGGGGCTGTTGAGGGGAGGAGGGGGAAGAGAACTAAGGAATGACAAAAAGTGAACTTCGAAAAGACGTGGGTCTGGCTTGACAGACTCCTCCTCCCCACATTGTCCAGATCATCAGTGAGGAGAGATTCCGGCAGCTGGAGAAGATCAAGACCATTGGCAGCACCTACATGGCTGCCTCCGGGCTAAATGCCAGCACCTATGATCAGGTGGGCCGTTCCCACATCACTGCCCTGGCAGACTATGCCATGCGGCTCATGGAGCAGATGAAACATATCAACGAACACTCTTTCAACAATTTCCAGATGAAGATTGGTGAGGGCCTGGGTCTTGGCACGTTTTTTCTGGGACAGTTCGTGGGTAAAGCTGAAGGTCTGGCTTGGGAAGGGTCACAGGCTCAGGACTCCTTAGGGTTTCTGCATCCCACCCTCATGCCAAGTATGACACTAAGGACAAAGATCATTTATTTTGAGTCTCCCATGTGCTGGGGTCTTGTCCTAGATATTTTGAGTACATTTTAATTCTCACATTAAGCTCCCCCACCCCTTAAGATGAGAACGAGGCTCAGAGATTGACTTGGCGAAGGTTAGAGGACTAGTAGGCAGGTTTGTCTAAAGGCGGCTGCCTGCTCTCTGTGTGTGGTCAGTCTGAAGAGGTACCTCTCCATTGCACTGGTGGAAGGCAGTGATTGATAGCATAGGCCTGCAGTCTGGTCTGACTTCCCACAGTTCTGTTTATTGGCTCAGGAAGTTACCCCAGAATCTTGTCTGTACGATAGGGGTACAGCAATATGAGCAGTGAATGCACAGAGGCATATTTAGCATGTACAGCAGTAGTCGTCTGGACTCACGGGAGCTACTTCAACTGTCACGCCCAGACCTTTTTTTTTTAAACCACCAGGAGAATTGTCCAATTTCCACTTATTTTTTTCCTTTGGGTCCTTCTCAAGGTTCAAGGGAAGATGACTCCCTAGAGGGACCCGGAGGATCTTAGCCCCAATCTCTTGCTCTCTACTTTTGCTATTATCTCTGCTGCAGGACTGAACATGGGTCCAGTTGTGGCAGGTGTCATTGGGGCCCGGAAACCACAGTATGACATCTGGGGAAATACAGTGAATGTCTCCAGTCGTATGGACAGCACAGGGGTTCCTGACCGAATACAGGTAAGGGGATGGGAGCTGGGGGGGAGTATGGAACTAGAGGGCTTTCACCAGTTTGCAGGGGAGGGCGGCTGCACCAGTCTGCAGGGCAGGGGCAGGGCGGCTGTCTTCTGTGGCTGTTGGGGGAGGGATGGGGGGAGGGGGGCTAGCCTGATAGAGAACTCCTGTTGAATTCCAGGCTAAGCAGGGTTCCCTTCCCACTTCCCCAGGTGACCACGGACCTATACCAGGTCCTAGCTGCCAAGGGCTACCAGCTGGAGTGCCGGGGTGTGGTCAAGGTAAAGGGCAAGGGGGGAGATGACCACTTACTTCCTCAACGGGGGCCCCAGCAGTTAGCAGAGAGCAGCTGAAACTCAGCTGGAGGGACCAAGGTGGCCATCGAGTGGACTTCCTGCTCGATGGGTGGAGCTGCTGCCGGGGCCACTGAGCCTCCAGATCTTGCTGACAGCAAAAGGGGCCATCCCAGCAGGCTGTGCTTGGACCACGTTCGTCTGCCTTCAGAGTGGCAAAGGAAGAGGGGACACCAAGAGGATTATCCAAGTGACTTTCTCAATTGGGGTAGGGGCTGTTTGCTCTCCTCGTTTTTTTGGAAGCAGAAGAGAGGGCGACAGCAGGGGCCAGGTAGCCCTCCTGCCTGAGGGAGTCAAATGGCAACTCACTATGCCTACTGTTTCCCTGTCTGGGTGACAGGCTCAGGGCCGGGTCACTGCTTGCCCTGTTTTTCCTGGGACTGCCTTGTACAAAGCCTGGGGCGGGCATGAGGAATGCCTATTCCATGCTTGCCTTTGCTTGGCTGTGTCCTCAGCACTGGTCCTGGGCATGCCCAGCCCCAGACAAGTCTCCTTCCTGGGCACAAGGTAGAGGAAGGAGGTACTGTGGGGACCTAGCTCTAACCACATTTCAGGGGAATGTTTCCATTTGCCAAATCCTAGTCCCATGATCTGTCCCCAAAGGGGAACAAAGGGACCTCTGATAGTGAAGACTTAGCCCCAGTTCCTGCGCGCTCCAGGGAAAGGGGTATCTGGCCTCACTGGTACTGTGAAAATGACCAGCCAGAGAGCAAACCTGTGTGTGGGGACGTCGGAAGATCAAGAACTGGACATTCACCTGCAGGTGCCGAAGAGTACAGGCGGCCAGGGAGGAGGAGGGTGGCACACTGACCCGAGGCCCCAGTGTGGCCGCCGTTGGCTCCTTCGGCCCAGATCTCACTTGCTGTCTGCTGGCAAGGGGGCATGGAGTGTCTCTACCCCTTGTATTGCCAAATAGAAGAGAGTCAGGGTTCCAGGAAGGATGACCCTGACCCCAAACCTGGCCTCCTAAGTCTGGCACTAGGGAGGGCCTGTGCATTTGTGTAACTGTGTGCATGTTGCTTTGTGTGTGTGTGCGTGTTTTCTAGGTCTCTGTGTGTCCGTGTGCTCCACCTCCTCAGATCCCTACTCAGGGCCGCCTGTCTCCTGGGGGCCTCTGCCTTCTGTTGTTACGGCAGGGTCTCCATCAAGGCTGGAGAGAAATGCCCAGGTTGCACAGGAGTGGGGTGGGGTATGGTAGCAAAATGAAGAGTTGTGTGAGGAGAGGAGTCCTTTATGTGCCAAATCCCTAAGTGCCATTTGGGGGCCACATGTGCAGTATGATTGTCTCCCTGCCCAGGGCAGGGGCCCAAGCACCTGCTTAGTTTCTAGTGTTCCTTGCACTTGAACTGTTGGAGGTTTGGGAGGTGGAAGCTCAGGCATTCCCTGGGTTCCTCAGCTTGTGTCTTGGAGTATGGTATACTTTCTGACTGGGGTAGTGTGGGGTCCCTCTGAGGACCCAGATTTTGGTACTAAGGGATAGAGCCTGGGAAATTTAAACTCGGCTTTCCAAAGCCTTTAGCCTGAATCTAGCATGGCTAGACTCTAGTCCTGGCTTCCAATCCTCATGAAGCCTGCCAAGGGTTGGACTTAAGTCTCTTCCTTTCCTTGCCTTCTTTTTACCCCTGCAGCCTCCTTGACTCTGGCCTGAATTAGTTGGTGCCTTGGTTTGTCTGTCTGTACCTATTTAAGCCAGAGGCATATGCCTCAGTTTTGATTGGAGACCACTCTGTCTTAGACGCTGGCAAGGCAGAGGGGAAAGAATTTCACGGGGCACCGACGGGACGGGCAGTACTCTTGCCCTTCCTCAGACACCAGTTCTCGGCAGAAGCCTGGTTTCTGGCTTGGTCCTGCCTTCCTGGGACTCTCCACGTTCCAGTTGATGGACCACTGGGCGCTTGATTATCCAAGGTGCAGAGAGGGAAGATTAGGGGTCCAGACAGAAAATTCCTCCATCTCCCCCAGCTATATCCCTGGATAGGAAGGGACTACTCGATGCTATTGGGTGGGAGCGAGGAGCGAGTAAGCCAGAATGGGAAGGCCTCAGCTTTGGGTGGTGTCTGCTTCTTGCCAGGTGGGAGGGGCCTGTCCATACCCTGGCTCCCTGTACCACAGTGCCAGCCATGTTCTTCTCCTGAGTTACCGTTGCCCCTTTCCTCGCCGGTTGGCGGAGAAATCGGGGCAATGGGAAGCCATGGGCTTTGGTTTTATAATGTAACCACTGTGGGAGTGGGGGAGGGTGGTGAACCATGTATTTCAGTGAAATATTTAATATATTTAAATATCAATAAAATCAAACTCTTTGTAAAAAAAAAAAAAGCCTATTCCTCTGTAACTGTTTGGACACCGGGTCGGGGTCAGAGGTAACAAAGGCTGGTGCAGTTAGCAAGCTCTTGTCTCCGGGATCTCTGGGCCTCTTTCATCTGTGATCTAATGGCTTCCTGTGGTTTTCTGCCTGTCAGGATGAAGCTGCCAGCCCTACTGCTCAGGGCCTGTCAGCCCCAGGTGTTTACTCTGACCCCTGTCACGCATCAGGTCAGGACCCCTGTGGTTGTCCTCCCAGTGCTCAGGTCCCTTCACCCCTCTCACACCAACATCTGGCCTCATCCGGAACCTCACAGCTGCGCCCACAGGAGTCAGGGGCGCTGGAATAACCCTGCTGCCTCCCACCCCCAGGGTGAAGACGTGCCTTCCGGTTCAGTTTGTTTATTCTGCTTTCTCTATACCCTCCCCCCCCCAGCTTGAGGACTTGGCCATCTTCACCCCTCCTTGCACCCCTTCCAGCCTTCATCTCGTCCTGCAAGCCTGTCCTCCTCAGTATGGGGTGAAGGTTTTGTCATTGAGAATAGTATGGTCCATGTATCTGGAAAAGAGAGGAAGCATCCCAGATTCAGCCAGGCCAGGCTAAAGGGGAGGGTGTGTTCTTACAAATGGTCCTCACGACTCCCCCTGTGCAGCATGGGCATGGATGATGAAGGAGGGCCACCGAGGGCAACTGTTGCTGATGGATGTTGCTTGGATAGAAACATCCTCAGGAGACCACAGGGATGCTAGAGACATGTTCTGTGTCACCCATAAAGCAAAGCAGACAGATCTTAAACTATACTGTGTGGATACCACACTGCCCAGGGTCTGAGGCCCACTCTCCCTAATAAGACCCAAACCCCTTCTATTCTCTGACACCACTCCCCACCCCCTTTTCTATCTGAGACAGGGTCTCTCTATGTAGCTCTGACTGTCCTGGAACTCTATGTGGGCCAGCCTGGGCTCAAGCTCACAGATAACAGAGATCCATTTGCCCTTGCCTCCTGAGTGCTAGAATTAAAGGCTGCATCACTACACCAGGCCAATTCTCAGCTCTTATGTGGAGCTGAAACATGACTATGGGTTTCAGTGCAGGAGGAGAGAACTTCCTCTTGTCTCCCACCCTGACCCTTCTCAACCTGACCTGGTCATTGCGCTTTTAATGCGACAGTGGCGTGGAGCCCGGATCCATGGTGCTGTGTCCTCTGGGCGCACGCCTGGACTGTGGGTCCGCCAGAAGCTGAAGTTCTGAGCATCTGTCACTGGGACTCTGAAGACCTGATTGGGGACTGGTTCAGTTGAAAGAAAGGCAGGTTATTGAATTTCTCGTGTTTTTCTGTCTCAGGATAAAAAGCACAGTCCAGCAACTTGCTGTGACCAGTGCGAGAGGTCCTGGGAATGTGTTCACCACACCCTCCCTCTCTTCCGGATTCCAGCATCTCACACACTTCATGGTCAGATGGTTTAATCTTGGTGTTTCCTGTTGCTAAGTAAGCCCACCTCTAAGACGTGCCAAGATGGTGAGAAAATAAGTAGCAGGCCCATTGGGAAGTCTACAAGATGAGTCTACTGACTCAAGTGGCAGAGTTTGTTTTTGTTTTTTGAGAAAGTGTTTCTCTGTGTAGCCCTGGTTGTCCTGGAACTCCCTCTGTAGACCAGGCTGGCCTTGAACTCACAGAGATCTGCCTGGTTCTGCCTCCCGAGTGCTAGGATTAAAGGTGTGTGCCTTTTCTGAATTATCTTCTTCCATTTCATTTCCCTTGTCTGAACTAATGCTTTCCTTTGCTTATTCTAGGGAATTCCCTGAAACTAACCAATGACACCACCCCACTTTGAGATACCACACACAGATGTTATCATGTTGCTCAAAATATTGTATAAGGTGTTTGTGTGTGTGAAGGTGCACCTATACAGGTACTTGTATGTGCAGGTATACATAGAGGCCAGAGGTTCCCAAGGAGCCATCCAGAAAAGTCCTTCACTAAGACCTGGGGCTTAATGATTAGGCCATATTGGCTGGGCAACCAACCAACCCCAGAGGTACACTTGTCCCCTCCACAGCTCTGGAGTCCTGAGTGTACACTTTGGAACCTGGCTTTTTACATGGGTGTTGGGGATCAAACACAGGTCTTTATACTTGCAACATAAACACCTTCTTAACTGAACTGTCTCCTTAGGGTGTGTGTGTGTGTGTGTGTGTGTGTGTGTGTGTGTGTGGCTGATGCTGAGTGTCTTCCTCTATTGCTTTCCATCTAATGTTTTAATTAATTAATTTTTTTACTTTGGTTTTTGAAACAGGATCCCTTTACATGACCCTAGCTGTCATGGAACCTACTGTGTAGACCAGGCTAGCCTCAAACTCACAGGGATCTGCCTGTCTCTGCCTCCCAAGTGCTGGCATTAAAGATGTGCACCACTGTACCTTGCAAATTTTCTTTCTTTTTCTTCCTCCCTCCCTCCCTCACTGTTTTTACAAACAGGGTTTTTCTGTTCAACAACTCTGACTATCCTGGAACTCAATCTGTAGACCAGGCTGGCCTCAAACTCACAGGGATCTGCCTGTCTCTGCCTCCCAAGTGCTGGAATTAAAGACATGAGCTGCCATGCCCCACCAATTTTCATAATTTTAAGATCAAATTATGGTCTAATATTTTCTGGTTTGCTCTGTAGTCTTGAGAATTATTTAAGTCCTTAGTTCATTGACAAAATGTTACTTTTTTTTTTTTTGGTTTTTTTCGAGACAGGGTTTCTCTCTGGCTTTGGAGGCTGTCCTGGAACTTGCTTGGTAGTCCAGCCCAGCCTCGAACTCACAGAGATCCACCTGCCTCTGCCTCCCGAGTGCTGTGATTAAAGGCGTGCGCCACCAACGCCCGGCTAAAATGTTACATTTTTACCTAGTTATTTTCCTATTAGTTAATCATAAGCTTTAAATTATTTTTCCACTATTAGAAATAACTTGTACCCCCTTTTCTTATCTGTACCTGTTTTGATCTCTAAAATTTTTTGTTTAATTTTGGCCTAGCCTGTGATGAAGGCCTCTAATCTCAGTTACCTGGAAGGTTGAAGTAAGAGGACCACAAGTTCAAGCCTGAACAGTTTAGTGAAAACCCATCTTAAGCCGGGCTACACAGAGAAACCCTGTCTTAAAGCATTCCATTTATGTAATATTCTTATGATGACAAAAGAACAGAAATGAGCCGGGCGTTGGTGGCGCATGCCTTTAATCCCAGCACTCGGGAGGCAGAGGCAGGCGGATCTCTGTGAGCTCGAGGCTGGGCTGGACCGACAGCTTCCAAAACAATACAGAGAAACCCTGTCTCGTAAAACCAAAAAAAAAAAAAAAAAGAAAGAAAACCCATCTTAAAATAAGACTATAAAGAAGGACTGATGATATGTGTAACCCAAGGGTAGAGTGAAATTCTGTAGGGAGCTAATTTGAAGTAATTACAGAGTCACAGAGATATAAGAAATACTACTGGGAGATTCCCTGACCCTGAAAGGTGACAATTGGGACATTAATATACAAGACAAGAATTGTAAGAGACAATTCCCAAACATCCAGAGTTGCTATTCTGTAGCCTCTGGTACAGTGATCTGTTCAATTCTGTTTTTTTTTTTTTTTTTTTTTTTGGGACAGGGTTTCTCTGTGGCTTTGGAGGCTGTCCTGGAACTCGCTTGGTAATCCAGGCTGGTCTCGAACTCACAGAGATCTGCCTGCCCCTGCCTCCCGAGTGCTGTGATTAAAGGCGTGCGCCACCAACGCCCGGCTCATTTCTGTTCTTTTGTCATCATAAGAATATTACATAAATGGAATGCTTTGAGACAGGGTTTCTCTGTGTAGCTTTGTAGACCAGGCTGCCCTCAAACTCACAAAGATCTTTTTCTCTCTCTCTTTAAAAAATTTGTATGTGCATGTGTGTCTGTTGAGTATTTGCTACATTGTGGGAACCTGTGGAAGCCAGAAGAAAGTATCAAATCGCCTGGGGTTGGCATTACAGGAAGTTGTGAGCAGTCAAGTGGGTGCTTGGAACCAAACTCAGGTCTTGTGGAAGAGCATCAGGTGCTCTTAACCACTGAGTCATCTCTCAGCCCCAGGAATGGCTTTCTTTAGAGAACACACTCCCTGAAGGTTCCTACGTGATGCTGTATGCATTGAGAGTGTGTCCTACTTGCTTTTCTGGACAAAGTTGAAGAGCTCCCATTTTCAAGTGGTTGGGAGAAGTTAAATGACCAAAGGAACGTCCCCAAGGTCACCCAACTTGTTTGGTATTAAAGCTCAGTTTAAATTACTGGTGTTGGCTCTACTCCTTGGTGGTGCAGTGTGACAATACACCAGTACTTTCATTGTTTCAGCTTTGTGTCATTGTCCTCACAATTCTGAGAGCATGTTCATAAAACAACACAGCGTCCCCTTTTCCAATAACCATGTGACACCCTAGTCATTCTTTAGACACTCAGGCTTATTTCTTGTTGCCCACACCAAGATACTTACATGTTTTTAACAACACCTTCCGTACAGCTTCATGGTACCTCGAGTGGCTATTCTGGTGTATGGAGTAATTACCATCTTCTGAGACAATTGGGGGAAACCTAGAGGATACTGCATCCTTCTGGTCTGAAATGAGAAGGCTTGTTTTGAGTATTTGGCAAATGGGACTACTTTAGTCTTTGATTTCCTGGTCTCCATGCCAACAAGGTACATAGCAGGAATCCTTCTTAGCTCCCAGACACTCAGACACTCAATTCTCAGCATCCCAGGAGTCAAGTTATCAAGCCTGAGATAAAGCAGGGGGAGGAAGAACTCAGTGTTTGCAAGAATCCCTCGCCACTCCTCTCTGACTCCCAGATTTTGAGTGGCTTCCCACTGGACTCAGGATTCTGGACAGATATTTAGAACTGATGCAGGTGAAAAAAATGGCCTCTTATCTGGACATAGACTCTCCCGAGACTAACATGTTTGTAGAACTTCAATTGGGCTGAAAGGAGAAGAGCTTGTTAAATCTTGGAAGACCAGAGCGAGTTCCAGGACAGCCTCCAAGACAATACAGAGAAACCCTGTCTCGAAAAACCAAAAAAAAAATCTTGGAAGACAAGCAGTTTCTGGGCCTGAAGGAAGGTACGTCAGACTGCAGGATGGCTAGTGCTTCAGAAGTGCAGAGAGGTGCTAGAGTGATAGCTCAGAGGTTATGAGCACTGGCTGCTCTTCTAGAGGTCCTGAGTTCAATTCCCAGCAACCACATGGTGGCTTAGAACCATCTATATTAAGATCTGGTGCCTTCTTCTGGTGTGCAAGCATATATGCAGGCAGAACACTGTATACATAAAAAATAAATCTTAAAAAAGCTGGAGTGTGGGAGAGTGAGGGAGGTCTCTGTTGATTGGAACCTGGAATGCTAGGTGATATGGAGAAGGACAGGGGTGGGTGGGGGCCTGGGAGGGTTGTGTAGTGGGTAATGGTGTTCATCATTTTCAGAAATTGGCTCTTACAAAGCAGAGCTTGCATCTCACAAATGACCAGCTCTACCCCACCTGGCCTCTCAAAGCGATATGAAACAGGCTGGGCTTAAACACATCTGGATTTTAAGTTTCTTTGGAGACAACATCTCACTATGTAGCCCTGGCTGTTCTGGAACTCACTCTGTAGACCAGGCTGGCCTTGCACTCACAGAGATCTGCCTGCCTCTGCCTCCTGAGCCAGAGGCTGCAGGGAGGCAGTGTGCAGATAGAGCTGTTGCTAGCTCTGGTAACTGGGAGCAGCAGCATGGCATCTGTTCCTCCCTCAGCACACAGAACTCTGTACTTGGTGCCAGCAGTGCCCACCATAATGTCCAGGGCATTAGTGTCTGTCTGCACCTCAGAACCCTGAAGAGGAGTGGGTTGTGACAACTTCAAGATGTAGAACAGCATGACTTGGTCAGGGGGTGAAAAGAAGGATGTTGTCCAGGGTTGCTCCAAGATTTCTTCTGACTGTTCCACGCATGTGTCACCTATGCCATAAAGAGGGGCTAGATCACCTTGTCCCTTCTCTCCAAGCCCTAATAAGACCCAGATCGTCATCTTCCGTTCCAAGTGTCTCTGTTCTGTTCTCACAGAGCCGTGGCTCTGAGGCACTCTCTCCCATTCTTACTCTTCCTTCTTAGTGCTTGTCAGGGACGAGATCAGTGGAGACCATCGAAGATTGCTGCCTCATCTCAAGGGTGAGGGTGCTACTTCTGTTGTGGAGTTCTCTTCCAAATCCTAGTTGTTTCCCTCTTTTCCCTCCCCTGGCCTCACTCATTCGTCATCTCTATCCTCCCTTCTCTTTTCTGTCCTCCAAAGGAAATCTTGAATGTTTGATAACCAATAAGACACCTCCAGAGTGACGTGAAGTTTGAATGTCCCCTCTGTGAAGCTGAAGACGTAAGAGGGGTTGGAAGTCCTGAAAGCTTTGTGGGAGCGCCGTTCTGGGATGCTGGCCTGTAGCAGGCGATGATCTGCACTTAACTGTAGGTTCCAGCAATGAAAGGTCATTTCCTGGAAATGGTATCATTTGGGCCTGGTTGTTCAACTTTAAGCAAGGTAAAAGTAGTAATATGCCCATGGAAAAATAGCGGTGGATTGAGGATAGCAGGCGTATTTCTAGTGGGTGTCAGGATCTGGGTTGAGAGTAAATTGTGGTTCTAAATGCAGGAGACAGCAAGAGTGCCGTCTGGTCCTTAGGCATCAGACTGTGCTTAAGATACAACCAGATGATGTTCTCTGGTATTTGAAAGAGTCCAAGCAGCAGGCTCCCAGCTTCCCATATGGACGGTGGCCACGTCTGGTGTCTGCGAGACAGTCTCACCCACTTGGATGCCTGCCACTTGACTCAAGCATATACCTTGCTCCTTGGGTTGGTTTGATTTTGTCTTTCATTTTTCTTTTGGTCAAACTGGGAGATATTCTTGGTTTTATAGTGTCCCCCCAAAATGTCCAGGTTTGAAAAGGTGCCTGCGATGAAGGGTGGCAAGGGTGGGTAAGAAACATGTCAAGGTGGACAGTAGTGTCACACGCCTTTAATCCCAGCGGCAGGCAGATCTCTATGAGTTTGAGGCCAGCCTGGTCTACAGAGTGAGTTCCAGGACAGCCAAGGCTACATAGAGAAACCCTGTCTCAAAAACACAAACAAACACACAAACAAAAGCCCCAACAACAACAAAAAAGAAAAATATCATGGTTACTGAGGAATGTTCTCTGAATAGGACACGATGAGTCAGCTCCACTGTGATGGGAGAGCTGAACCAAAATCTTGTGGTACAACAGAGGTTCTTCACACAGCTAGTTGATGCCCTGTCCTGAATGGTGCTTGGGAACTCGGAATGACTATAAATAGCTTCTTTTAGAATTGGGCCATAACTTGGGGTTTTCCATAAAGCCACATTTAATGCTTTGACTGCACTTTGAAAACAACCTTGGTAATATGAGAGTACCTGGGTGGATCTTGTACTCATCCTAGTTAACGGAGGCAGAGTTTTCAGTACTATAGGCTATCCTTGAGCCAGCAGTGATCCTAGAGTCTAATTATCTACTACTTGGCTCATGGCTTCTGTTGGAACCCAGGCTGGTTGGGTCCAGTATTTCTAGCTGAAGAATACAGTCTCAGTGACTCCCTGAACTCTGACTTCTAGATGTTGGTTCCAGGTTCTTGGGTCATAACAATGACAGTATCCAACACATTATTTGCACTTGTCTTGACATGCTGGTTTACAGAAATCATACAAGATTGGGATGAGAGAAAATGCTGGCATTGTATGCAAGAATATAATGGTTCCTGAGCTGCCTGGCTGGCGCAGCAGTTATGAGTGTTAGATTGCTGTGCTGACCCTTGTTGCGCTAACACATGAGAACCAGAGTTCATATCCTCACACCCATGAAAAGGCTAGATGTAGCCCCGTGCATGCCTGTAACTCCAGCACTGAGGGGACAAAAATGGGGTTGCTGATACTTGTTGGCTGCAATCCTAGACAAAAGGTAGGAGCTCCAAGTTCAAGAGCCTCTGTCTCAGAGGAACAAGGTAGAAATAGGACATTCGGTGCCCTCCTCTGGCTTCCATGTAAGCACAGGCATACTCATTCATACATATATGTACATACACTATATATATATAAAGCACACATATGTATGCAGTTTCTTTTTAATTTGAAAAATGAGGGGGCTAGAAAGATGGCTCAGCAGTTGAGAGCACTGGCTGCTCTTCCAGAGGACCTGAGTTCAATTCCCAGTAACCACATGGTGGTTCACAACTGTCTGTAACTTCAGATCTAGGGGATCTGACACCCTTACACAGACATATGTACAGGCAAAACACCAATGTGCATAAACTAAAAATAAATAACTTTTAAAAAAGAAAAATGAGTCGGGTGTTGGTGCCACATGCCTTTAATCCCAGCACTTGGGAGGCAGAGGCAGGAGGATCTTTGTGAGTTCGAGACCAGCCTGGTCTACAAGAGCTAGTTCCAGGGCAGCCTCCAAAGCCACAGAGAAAATAAAGAAAAATGACCCCTATCTACAAGATCATATCAGATGGTAGTATTAATCATTGAAATTGACCTGGGCATATTAAAATGGTTTGCTGACGTTTGTTTGAAGGGCTGTCTTGTACTTACTGTCTTCCTTGATGCGAGGGAATTATCTGTGCTTTGGGGAGTGGACATGAGCCCAGGGAACCAGATCCTCAGCTATGTTTTCCAGATGGGGCCAGCTCTTTGCCTTTGCAACTTTGGTGGCACGTCTGCTGACTCTGAGTGCAGGGACGGCAGATGGGGCATGAGCAGCACAAGGACGTAGGTAAAGCAGATTCTCTAGAGATAAAGATTGCTAACACTAATGCACCCTGCACAGCTCTTTAAAGTAGAAGCCATCATTTAACAAAAGGAGCCAGAGACACAGAGAAGTTTAGTCATTTGCCTGAGGTCACAGACTCACACGTGGCAGGAACATACGTTTGTCCAGAGTAGCTCTGGGGACCTGATTCTTCCTGACTGCTCCCTGAAATATCGAGACTTCCAGGAGAGATGGTCAATTAGACTGGAAACATCAGTCTCCTTACCGATGTGCATAACTGAGTGGGGGATTTCAGCAAGCATGTCTGCTCGCCTGGAACAGACATGAGTTGGATAGGGGATATGGCATCACTTCCTTGATCCAGAGGGAGAGCCCAAGCTCTCTGGGCTTTTCTGGACATAGGATGTAATTAAAGTCAGCACTGGAAGCAGAAAGGGCTGGGACTTGTCATTCTTGCAGTGAGCTGGAACAGCCTCACTGGAGAAGAGCAGTGTGAAAAGGCTGAGTCCTTGTAGGAAAAGTGGCCTGTCTGCTGTCTATAGACAAAGTCACCATTGTCACCACCATGGAGGCAGGCCCATTCCGAGGCTTCAACATTGGTTGTGATTAGCATGAACATCTTTCCATCTAGTTTCATGGGGATGAAATTTGGTGGCCCACAGCAGTTAAAAGTAAGTCTAGGTTTTCTAGATACAGTTCCATAAGGTTGCTGTATACATTGCAAAAGCAGAGGGTCTCTGGCCAAGTTCATGGTTGACTGAACTGCCATCCGTGCTCCTGTTTGAAAGGCTAGAACTATAGTGCCCTCTGCTG